ATTATTTTAATATCGATGTTTCTATTTCATTCTTCGCAAGTTTATTTAATCTGAATGTCTTGGATGGTTATTTACAATAATATTTTTCTTTCTCCAGCGAGATAACGAAATCCTTAGAAAAGAATTAGAAGAGTTTCACAAGAAACAAGACGCTACAGAGGTAACAGCCAYTGTCCTAAAATGTTTTTCCTTTTGTAACCCTTTTTTCTCTCCAGTGGTTCTTTCAACTTGAACTGTACTAAATGTTACTGACTTTCTGTATCCAGAGAGATAACCAAAGCCTAAGGGAAGAATTGGAGGAACTGCGMAAAAAGCAGCAAGTTGAAGAGGTACAAGAACGAAAGATGTAGACGTCGCAGCGTTGCTTTGCATTTGCAAAAGACATAAGACAATCAACTATATYAGTCYTTAACCGTTTTCGTTTAATTTCTTTGCATGTCTCGCAGGAAACCAAAGATATCCAAACAGAGAAAGAAAGRAAYATTATTGTCAGGGGATGCCACCGAGTCAAGAAGCGATGCGTGGAATTCCGTGACACCGTTCAGTTTGTCTTCAGCACYTGGAAGTCAAACTTTTAAAAACAGCCAAACTATTATTACTGCTTAATCAAAATTTATGAATTTATTACCGACAGTTAAATGTATATATTTTTTAGCTTAACAGTTGAATTGCAGTCAAAAATAACATTAGAAATTTTGAGAATGTTTTACCTACGAATTTATATGTACGAAATTACAAGGTTACTTTTATCAAGGCTGTGACGGTGTGCAATGCATGATGTAAAATAGATACCACGTGACCAGTCACGTGCCAGTCAGGTGACATTCGGTGTAGATAGTCTAGCCACATRACATTAAGCGTTGGCACTTCAGTCACATGAATAGTCACGTGACATTACGTCATCTTGTGAATATAAAGCACCTTAAAGAATGTAGTATTTCAAAATAAACCTGAACAATATACCATATTGTAAATATAAACTTGATGTACATAGATGAAAAATGAATACATTACATATTTGTTAAATAAACATAATTGGTTTAATATATGAATCCAATTTGAATTAAAGTCAGTAATTATTTCAAATGTAGGTTTTAGCTTTAGTTTTTTCATGTCAAGCTCTTGCATCTTTAACATCAATTCCTTTGTCAATGACATGCATTGTACATGGCCTTTTTGTATCTTTGTTGAATAAATTTCAATA